GTGACAAAGTTTTGTATGTAAGAGTTGTGTGTTTTGGCAAAGTTGTGTGTGAAAGAGTTGTGTGACAGAATGGGTGATGCGGAGGGGGAGGAGGTGGCAGCGGGACGGACGCAGGCAGGAGCGCACAACGGAAAAACAAGAACCCCACACAATGATGTGCGGAATAAAAACATACACACAGTATGTATATATATATATATATAATCCTCCTTGGAATTAACTCTATAGAATATAGAACCTGGGCATACGATTCTATAGAGATGAAGTTGGTAGGCCAGTTTTTACTATAGAATGGTACCTGGATTGAGCCCATCCAGTTTTGGAAAAACAACATATCCAAAAGTGACACCAAACTTGAAGCCTTGCAAATCCTGTTTTCTATTCTATAGGGGGTCTTTTTCCTAATCACATGGACTCAGTTTTTCATTTTATAGTGGATTATTTGTTAGAAGCAGTGCCAGTATGAGGCTAGGTTTTCATTTTATAGGAGTGGGAGGGGAGGTGTCAGTGGGCAATAATATTGTAAATACTGTATGATACTGTAAAATATTGAAACATACTGTAAACGAATAATTAGTATAATTGATCAACACTGTTACCCAGTCAGTTTTGTGCAGGGCTGCTCCTTTAAAATGGAGATCCAACCATTCTTCTAAAAAATGGTTCCCATGAAAGGTGCCAGCCCAGATCCAAATGTGAAACCACATTTTGGGCCTTGGAAAAAACATGTTCTATTCAGTAGGGGGTCTTTTCCTGATCACTGGGACTCAGCGTTTTATTTTAAGATGAAAATCCAACCGCTCTTCTTAAAAAATAGGCAACCACTATTTGGGCCTTGGAAATAGCGGTTTCTATTCTATAGGGGGTCTTTTTCCTAATCAATTGGATTCAGTTTTTCATTTTATAGTGGATTATTTGTTAGAAGCGGTGGCCAGTATGAGGCTGGGTTTTCATTTTATAGGAGTGGGAGGGGAGGTGTCAGTGGGCAATAATATTGTAAATACTGTATGATACTGTAAAATATTGAAACATACTGTAAACGAATAATTAGTATAATTAATCAACACTGTTACCCAGTCAGTTTTGTGCAGGGCTGCTCCTTTAAAATGGAGATCCAACCATTCTTCTAAAAAATAGTTCCCAAGGATTTTTTTGCTTGAAAGGTGCCACCCAGATCCGAATGTGAAACCACATTTTGGGCCTTGGAAATAGCGGTTTCTATTCCATAGGGGGTCTTCGTCCTCACTTGGACACAGTTTTTGTTTTTATAGTAGATTATTTGTTAGAAGCAGTGGCCAGTATGAGGTTGGGCTTTCATTTTATAGGAGTGGGAGGGGAGGTGCCAGTGGGCAATAATATTGTAAATACTGTATGATCTTTAAAGATATTGAAACATACTGGAAACGAATAATTAGTATAATTGATCAACACTGTTACCCAGTCAGTTTTGTGCAGGGCTGCTCCTTTAAAATGGAGATTCAACCATTCTTCTAAAAAATGGTTCCCAAGGATTTTTTTGCTTGAAAGGTGCCAGCCCAGATCCAAATGTGAAACCGCATTTTGGGCCTTGGAAAAAGCAGTTTCTATTCAGTAGGGTGTCTTTTCCTGATCACTGGGACTCAGCGTTTTATTTTAAGATGATAATCCAGCCACTCTTCTTCAAAAATGGGCCCCAAGATGTTTTTTGCTTGAAAGGTGCCAGCCCAAACGTGAACCACATTTTGGGCCTTGGAAATAGCGGTTTCTATTCTATAGGGGGTCGTTTTCCTAATCACTTGGGCCCAGTTTTTCATTTTATAGTGGATTATTTGTTAGAAGCAGTGGCCAGTATGAGGCTGGGTTTTCATTTTATAGGAGTGGGAGGGGAGGTGCCAGTGGGCAATAATATTGTAAATATTGTATGATCTTTAAAGATATTGAAACATACTGTAAACGAATAATTGTATAATTGATCAACACTGTTACCCAGTCAGTTTTGTGCAGGGCTGCTCCTTTAAAATGGAGATTCAACCATTCTTCTAAAAAATGGTTCCCAAGGATTTTTTCCCCACCTGCCAGGTGAGGGTTGTTAGATTTTATGTCAGTTGCCTCCTCCTGCCTCCTCCTGCCTCCTCCTGCCTCCTCCTGACTCCTGCCTCGTCCTCCTCCTCCTCCTCCTCTCCTCCTCGTCCTCCTCGTCCTCCTTGTCATCCTTGTCGTCCTTGTCGTCCTCGTCGTCCTCGTCGTCCTCGTCGTCCTTGCTCAACTGCGACCCGCGATCCACAGTGTTCTCTGCCGGACCTCAACCACGACCACCCACGCCCAGTGTTCCCTGCCGGACCTCAACCACGACCAGCCACGCCCAGTGTTCCCTGCCGGACCTCAACCACGACCATCCGCGCCCAGTGTTCCCTGCCGGACCTCAACCACGACCATCCGCGCCCAGTGTTCCCTGCCGGACCTCAACCGCGAGTATCCATGCCAACTGTTCCCTGACATATCTTCTGGCATTCTATCTGGCACATCTTCTGGCATTCTATCTGGCATTCTATCTGGCATATCTTCTGGCATTCTATATGGCAGATCTTCTGGCATTTGGCATTATATCTGGCATATCTTCTGGCATTCTATCTGGCATACCTTCTGGCATTCTATCTGGCATTCTATCTGGCATTCTATCTGGCATTCTATCTGGCATTCTATCTGGCATATCTTCTGGAATATCTTCTGGCATATCTATCTGGCATATCTTCTGGAATATCTTCTGCCATATCTATCTGGCATATCTTGTGGCATATGTTCTGGCATTCTACCTGGCAAATCTTTCCCTGCCGGACCTCATGTAGGAAGATATGGGACAAAGAATGTGCAGAAGAAAGTTAGAAAGAATTTCAGACAAGTATGTGATATATTACTTGCGAACTTGCAGGTGTGTGGTAGTGTGATCGGGGCAATGCCACTATTGACTTTGCGGGTGGCAAAGTTTGAAGCAATCAGTTTGAACAGATGACAGAGTCACTGGGGTGGACAGAGACATTTCCATTTCTGTACCTTTGGAGCTGTTTGCAAAGACGCTTGAGACAGGCAACATCTTACAGCAAGTTACTACAAATTACTTGAAGGGATCTCATGCTGGATTGATGCTTGAGACAGTCAACATCACACAGAGTTTCTATTGTGTATCACAGCTATGGTAGCATGGTGGATATGTGACATCGGAACATGTGTTGGAGCATTTGAGCCCTCATCTACTCGATCGCGGGCCAGAGGCAGGATGGACATCATCATAGAAGCATTCAGCAGGAGGAGGTTATGTGATCAGTAGTGTCTTCTTGCGTGTTTTTGTTCCCCACCTGCCAGGTGAGGGTTGTTAGATTTTATGTCAGTTGCTTCCTCCTCGTCCTCCTCCTCCTCCTCGTCCTCCTTATCCTCCTCCTCCTCGTCGTCCTCCTCCTCGTCGTCCTCCTCGTCCTCCTCCTCGTCCTCCTCGTCCTCCTCCTCGTCCTCCTCCTCCTCCTGCTCCACTGCGATCCATGTCAGTGTGCCCTGCCGGACCTCAACCACGACCATCCACGTCAGTGTGCCCTGCCGGACCTCAACCACGACCATCCACGCCAAGTGTTCCCTGCCGGACCTCAACCACGACCTTCCAGGCCCAATGTTCCCTGCCGGACCTCAACCACGACCATCCCCGCCCAGTTTTCCCTGCCGGACCTCAACCACGACCATCCACGCCCAGTGTTCCCTGCCGGACCTCAACCGCGAGTATCCACGCCAAGTGTTCCCTGCCGGCCCTCATGTAGGAAGATATGGGACAAAGAATGTGCAGAAGAAAGTTAGAAAGAATGTCAGAAAGAATGTCAGAAGATATGCCAGAAGATATGCCAGATAGAATGCCAAATAGAATGCCAGATAGAATGCCAGAAGATATGTCAAAATATATGCCAGAAGATATGCCAGATAGAATGCCAGATAATATGCCAGAAGATATGCCAGATAGAATGCCAGAAGATTTGCCAGATAGAATGCCAGAAAATATGCCAGAAGATATGCCAGATAGATATGTCAGAAGATATGCCAGATAGAATGCCAGAAGATATGCCAGAAGATGTCAGAATATATGCCAGAAGATATTTCAGATAGAATGCCAGAAGATATGTCAGAATATATGCCAGAAGATATGCCAGATAGAATGCCAGAAGATATGTCAGATAGAGTGCCAGAAGATATGCCAGATAGAATGCCAGAAGATTTGCCAGATAGAATGCCAGAAGATATGCCAGAAGATATGCCAGATAGAATGCCCAATAGAATGTCAGAAGATATGTCAGATAGAATGCCAGAAGATTTGCCAGTAAGAACATGTATAAATGTCATGGTGGGGATCACACGAAAAGTCAAAATAATTTTGCTTGAAAGGTGGCCAGCCCACATCCAACATGTGACCACATTTTTGGGCCTTGGAAAAGCATTTTCTATTCAGTAGGGGGTCTTTTCCTGATCACTGGGACTCAGCGTTTTATTTTAAAATGAAAATCCAACAACTCTTCTTAAAAAATGGGCCCCAAGATTTTTTTTGCTTGAAAGGTGCCAGCCCAAACGTGAACCACATTTTGGGCCTTGGAAATAGCGGTTTCTATTCTATAGGGGGTCTTTTTCCTAATCACTTGGACTCAGTTTTTCATTTTATAGTCGATTATTTGTTAGAAGTAGTGGCCAGTATGAGGCCGGGTTTTCATTTTATGGGAGCGGCAGGGGCTGTTGGCTTGGTAGGGTCTCTATTCTATAGGGAAAATCCTCCCCCCTTAGTCCTGGGTTTTCGTTTTAGTCCCTATAGAATTAGACACCCAGGTTTGGTCCGAATTCCAATAGGGATTATATATATATTATATGTGTGTGCATATGTTTTTGTCTAGATAGTCAAGCAATGATCATGTAGATTCAAGGATTTTGATGTACGTCATATTTTGTATCTTACCGTCAATCCCATCCATCTTCCTATAACATCCTTAATTGCGCAGGTCGGACCTTCGAGGCAGATATTATCTACCTTGGCATCAGCTATGCAATCCGCAACACCATGTACCGCCATGCGATCTTTGCCACGCCGGGGCAATATCTTGGAACTGAAACGGACGACGTCAATTCAAATATATAAAATCAATTAAAATCATTAAATCGATTGAAAATAAAACAAATAAAATAGAGATTCGAATCATTATATATTCAATAATATTATTAAATTTCACGAGCTCCTGGGATTTTGTGATTTTTAGGGATTATTGGATATCAAGGTCAAGATGCAATATTTGGTGCAGTGTACGCGCACAAGGGTGGCACCAAAAAACTTAAGCGTCATGGTTTGCACGGGTTTGCACTGGATCAGCCTTCCATAAATGGAATTGGTCCAATTAATCGTTCAGAAAAAATGAAACGGTCGGAAACGGTCGGAAACAGTCGGAAACGGTCGGAAACGGTCGGAAACATGATCAGTCCAAAACTTGTCCAACCCGCATTTTTTTTAAAATAAGCATTTCCGCGCAATGCCGTTTTTTTTTTTGAAGGTCCAAAGGTGTCCAAGGGGAAACGGTTGGAAACAGTCGGAGATCGCACCTTCGCTCGGCAAAAAAATAGTTGTTTTGTAGCATATCTTCATGAAAAATGTTTGAAAATTGTGTAAAAACATGTCTTTTTTGCCAACGAAGGTGCGATCTCCGACTGTTGCCAACCGTTTCCCCTTGGACACCTTTGGACCTTCAAAAAAAAAAAACGGCATTGCGCGGAAATGCTTATTTAAAAAAAAATGCGGGTTGGACAAGTTTTGGCCTGATCATGTTTCCGACCGTTTCCGACCGTTTCATTTTTTCTGAACGATTAATTGGACCAATTCCATTTATGGAAGGCTGATCCAGTGCAAACCCGTGCAAACCATGACGCTTAAGTTTTTTGGTGCCACCCTTGTGCGCGTACACTGCACCACATATTGCATCTTGACCTTGATATCCAATATTCCCTAAAAATCACAAAATCCCAGGAGCTCGTGAAATTTAATA